TGTAAATTTGTCTTACCTTTTGGAAAACTGTTGGGCATTGTCTAGTAAAGTTGAAAATATTCAAACCCTATGACCCAGACCACACATTTCACTCCTAGATATACCATAGAAATGCACCTAACAATGCTCAAAAATAAGACATGTAAAAGGATTATATGTCCAACAACCCCAAATTAGAAATATCCAAAATTCCCCTTAATTGCCAAATGGATAAATTGTACTGTATTTATAAAATGAAATACCATATAGCAGTAAAAATGAATGAACTATTGCTCCATGGGAAATGAATGAATTTCACAAATATAATATTGAGTGAAGAGCTTAACATAAAATGTATATAGCTGGAGCCCATTATCCTGGACACAGCTGGAGCCCATTCTACTAAGTGAAGTATCACAAGAATGGAAAAACAAGCACCACATGTACTAATTATCAAATTGGTATTAACTGATCAACACTTAAGTGCACATATAGTAGTAACATTCATCGAGTGTTGGGCAGGTGGGAGGGGGAGGAGCGCATGGTATATTCACACCTAATGGGTGCGGTGCACACTGTCTGGGAGATGGACATGCTTGAAGCTCTGACTCAGGTGGGGCAGAGACAATATATGTAACTTAAACATTTGTCCCCCTGTTATATGCTGAAATAATAAAAAAGTATATAGTATATGATTGTAATCATAAAAAGTTAAAAAGTGTCAAATTTCTCTGTGGTTTTAATCAGAATCATTATTAATATGTCTAGGGGTGTAGCAAGTTGAAAGGGCCATGAAATGGGCTCCTGTAATATTGAAGTTATCATGGTGTTTGATCAAAGTTTCTGTTACCTGGGTGTTATGTTAGTCTTTTATTTCTGTGTAACAACATTCCACAAACTAAGTGGCTTGAAACCACATACATTTCTTATCACATAGTTTCCAGGGGTCAGGAGACCAGGCATGACTTAACTAGGTCATTTCTGAAGGTCGTTTTATCAAATCTTGCTGCAACCAAGGTGTAGGCTGGGCTGTGTTCCTTTATGGAGCTCAGGAGCCTCCTCTCAGGTCACGTGGATGTTGGTAGCATTCATTTCCTTTCAGGTGTAGCACTCAGGTCTCTGATTTCTCTTTGAGGGTCAGCTAGAAGCTGTTCTCAGCAAATAGAGGCTGCCCACAGTTCCCACAGGCCCTTTGAAGAATGGCTATTTGATTTTTTAAGGTAGTAGAAAAATCTCCCTGACTTCAAATCACTCACTTCAGAGGAGATCTGGACTCTTTGTAGAGGCTCACTTCACTTGGTTATCACACCCGGGATAATCCTCTTTTGACTTAAAGTCAACTGATTTTGTCCCTTAATAACAACAGCTTTGCCACTTAAAGTAATCTAATCACAGGAGTGAATCACATCAAGTTGACAAGTCTTGTTCACTTTCAAGGAAAGACACGTGGAGGTGGGGATCTTGGGGACCATCTTTTATTTTGCCTGCCACAGGGGCATTCACTTTTTGAATATTCAAGCTTTATGTTTACGGTTTATGCACGTTTCTGTCCATAAGATTCGCCTAACAAGTGAGAAGAAAAAACAGTGGAAAATAGTCAAGCAAGACAAAGAAGATAAAGAAGAAAGCAGATGTTGCAGGATAGCTATGAGCGCATATTCCTAAGACTCAACAAGAAATACCAGATACAAGTGATACTAGAACGGAGAAAATATTAGGAGGCGAATTATTAGAAAAGATAAAGTTCCAGGATGACAAAAATTTGAGGCAATATTTTATTACAGTCAGAATCATAGTGTTTGCTCTATTTTAAAATAGAGAGCAACCCTAGAGCTTGAATCGAAAGGAAGTGGTTGCCTCTACATCTGCTTAAATAAAGAATGGATCAAATATTAACCACTGAGTATTCTCATAGAAACTGAAAGACTAGTGAGATTCAAGAAGGCAAATTAAGTGAGTGGAATCAATATTTCAGACGAGCCAGTTAAGATAGGATTTCAAGAAATGACAAATTTAATTTGTCTAAATTAAATTGATAATCTTTGCAATGACAGATTCAATGAAGTGACAAAAGAATAAACTAAAAGAAATTCTATTGGTAATGTCTACAAAGGAACATGAAGATTTAGAAGCTTAGATGGTCATTCATAATTCTACTATTTTAAAAAAAGCTAAGATAAAAAAAGTGAACGAAAAACATCCCCTCCAACAACAGAAAAGTGATACCTTACACTATGGTGTACCTGTGAAAGAGAACATTATATAGTAAACTTTAGAAAGGTTATTTTTGCAATCATATAATATCTA